TATGGACAAAGCTGACATGTCCATCTGCTGTCTCTTTCACAGTCCCTTTTAGGAACAGAGTCGCATGACTCTGAGATGGCCACCGAGAGGTAGCTGAAGCATTCAACTTAGGACAGAAAAAGGTCAAATGTTCAATACTGGCCTTTGACTTTATCACCTAAGCACCCTCTTCTAAACAGCTCAGATCTCCACCACCATGAGCAACCAAGCATGTGCAGCAAGCAGAGAAATGGAACATCTTCCTGAAGGAAATCCAGATGGGGCTGCTATGGGGAAAAGTCTTTTTCTTCACTCCCCATGAGAAGGGGCAGCTTTCCTTCACTGGCCTTTGTTCCTTTCAGCACCTGGAATACTTCCTCCTGGTCTGCTCTTTTTGCCTCTCTGAATCCCACAAGGACCAGCTCAAATCCCTTCCCTTTCCTGAAACCCTTCCTGACCCTCCGAAGTAAACAGTAATTATCCCTCCACCCCATGAACACCTGGACAACCCAGTGCCCATGCTACTTAACATTTYTGGTGTTTTCTCTTATATTGTCAATTATTTTTTCTCATATTTTTTCCTATACTACTTAAARGGGACATAATGGCCTGGATTTTTGTAAAACCTATAGCATCTTATATCATATGGCACACATTAAGAAAATACTTGGTAATTTGGAAGAAAAGCATCTAGAAAGGAATTTGACTGAGGTAAATGTACTTAATGAAAGATTATTGGAGATATTATGAGAAACATCTATGTGCCTATAATACTTTTATAATTTATGAAAGTATGTTAAATAATTTCCTTACGAGAACAATTACAAAAGAGTCTTGGATTTCCCGAGTAGACATGAGAAAGTGTTTCATAGTTAGCAATGAGTAAGGTTACAAATACACAAAGGCAGAGATGGAGATGCTTATTTGAGCTGAAACAAAGTCATATTTTGGAAATTGCTCTATATATTCCACAGTTATTTGTTATATAAACCTATATGTGCTTCTCCTAATGTGTTAACTTCTGGTTAGTGTTAATTCATTTGTATCCAAAGTACCAAGTCATCTCATTTATATGTTATAATTCAGAAATACCAAACATAGTACATCTACCTGACCATCAAATTTTGTTTTTATTCTAGACAAAACCTCCTACAGAGTCAGGTCAGTGAGATATACACAAAATGCATCTCTGGATCCAAAACAGTTAAAATGAGCTAGTTGCAATGGCCCATGGTCTTCTGATAAGCTATGTACAACTTAAATTTTTTAAATTTGTTCTTTTTAGATATACATGACAGTTTAGTGTATTTTGACACATTATATATACGTGGAGTATACCTTATTCTAATTAGGATCCCATTCTTGTGGTTGTACATGATTTAGAGTTTTACTAGTCACATATTTATAYATGAACATAAGAAAGTTACTTCTGATTCATTCTATTGTCTTTCCCATTTCCTTCCCCCTCTCTTCCTTTTCTTCCCCTTTGTTTAATCCAATGAATTTCTGTTATTCCCTCCTCCCCCCATCTTATTGTGTGTTAGCATCTGCATATTAGAGAGAACATTTGGCCTTTGGTTTTGGGGATTGGCTTATTCCGCTTAGCATGATAGTCTCCAGTTCTATCCATTTACTAGAGAATGCTATAATTTCATTCTTCTTTATGGCTGAGTCATAGTCCATTGTATATATATATATATACACCACATTTTCTTTATCCATTCATCTGTTGAAGGGCACCTAGATTGGTTCCATAGTTTAACTATTTTGAATTGAGCTGCTATAAACATTGATGTGGCTGTGTCACTGTAGTATGCTGATTTTAAGTCCTTTGGGTATAAATTAAGAAATGGGATAGTTGGATCCAATGGTGGTTTTATTCCAACTTTTCTGAGGAATTTCCATACTGCTTTCCAGAGTGGTTGTACCAGTTTGCAGTCCCACTAGCAATATATGAGTGAACTTTCCCCTCACATTCTCATCAACTTTTATTGTTACTTGTATTCTTGATAATTGTCATTCTGACTGGAGTGATATGTAATATCAGTGTAGTTTTAATTTGCATTTCTCTAATTGGTAGAGATGTTGAACATTTTTTGTATATTTGTTTACTGTTTGTATTTCTTCTCTGAAGTGCCTGTTCAGTTCCTTTCCCCATTTATTGATTGGGTTATTTGTTTGTGGTGTTTTTTGAGTTCTTTATATATCTTGAAGATTAATGTTCTGTATGATGTGCAGGTGACAAAGATTTTCTCCTATCRTGTAAGCTCTCTCTTTGAGTTCTAGATTGTTTCCTTTGCTGTGAAAAAGCTTTTTGGTATGAATCCATCCCATTTATTGATTCTTGATTTTACTTCTTGCACTTTAGGAGTCTTGTTGAAGAAGTCAGTTCCTAAGCTGGCATTATGGAGAGTTGGGCCTATATTTTCTTCTAGTAGGTAAATCCCTAAGTCCTTGATACACTTCTGGTCAAATCCCTAAGTCCTTGATACACTTCATGTCGAGTTTTGTGCATGGTGAGATATAGGTGTTAAAATTAATTCTGCTATGCATGGATTTATACCAATGATGAGTCAACTGAAAGAAAAATTGGGAAAACTATCCCATTCACAGTAGCTTAAAAAAATACTTGTAAATCAATCTAACAAAAGATGTGAAAGACCTCTAAAATTAAAACTACAGAACACTAAAGAAAGAAATTTAAGAAGACCTTAGAAGATGGAAAGCTCTCCTATGATCTTGGATAGGCAGAATTAATATTGTCAAAATGGCCATACTACCAAAAGCGCTGCACATATTTAACACAATTCCTATTGAAATTCCAATGATGTTCTTCATATAAGTAGAAAAAGCAGTCATAAAATTTATTTGGAAAAATAAGAGGCCCAGAATAGCCAAAGAAATCCTTAGAAAGAAAAGTGAAGCAGGAGACATGACAATACCAGACCTTAAACTATACTACAGAGCTATGGTAACAAAAATGGCATGGTATTGGCACCAAAACAGATACATAGACCAATTGAACAGAAAAAGGAGACCCAGAGACAAATCCACATACATACAGTCCTACTAGACAAAGGTGCAAAAAAAATTAATTGGAGAAAAGAAAGTTTCTTCAACAAATCGTGCTGGGAAAACTGGAAATCTGTATGTAGAAGAATGAAATTAAACCTCTGTCTCTCACCCTGCACAAAACTCAACTCAAAGTGGATTAAAGACTTAAGCACTAGAACAGAGATCCTGTGCCTAATAGAAGAAAATACAGGCTCAGATCTTCACCATATCAGCCTATGATCTGACTTTCTTAAAACACTCCTAAAGCACAGAAGTAAAACCAAGAATCAATACATGGGTTGGATTCAAACTAAAAAGCTTCTTCTCAGCAAAGGAAGCAATCAATAACATAAAGAGAGAGCCTACAGATTGGGAGAAAATATTTACCACATGCACCTTAGATAGAGCATTAGTCTCCAGGATATATAAAGAACTCAAAGGACTTTAACACCAAAAGTATGGTGAGCAAGGCACTTCACAGAAGAAGTAATACAATTGATAAACAAATATATGGAAAAATGTTCAATATATTTAGCAATTAGAAAAATGCAAATCATAATCACTCTAAGATTTCATTTCACCCCAGTCGGAATGGCAATTATCAAGAATATAAACAAGAACAAAACTATGTAGGGGATTGATACAGAATAATATGCAAATCAAAGTCATGACAAAAAAAGAATACAAACAACAAGAAAGATGGTGAGGATGTGGGGAAAATGTTCACTCATACATTGCTAGTGGAAATTTAAATTTGTGCAATCTTTATGGAAAGCGGTATGGAGATTCCTCAGAAAACTTGAAATGGAACCACCATTTGACCCAGCTATCCCACTCCTTGGTTTATGCCCAAAGGACTTAAAAATCAGCATACTACAGTGACAGAACCATATTGATGTGTAAAGCAGTTCAATTCACAATAACTAAACTATGGAACCAACCTAGGTGCTCTTCTACAGATGAATGGATAAAGAAAATGTGATACATACACCCCCGCCCMCACACACACACAATGGAGTATTGCTTAGCCTTAAAGAATGAAATAATGGCATATGCCAGTAAATGAGTGAAGCTGTAGAATATCATGCTAAGTGAAATAAGCCAATCCCAAAAAACCAAAGGTGGAATGTTTTCTCTGATATGTAGATGCTAATTCACAATAATGGAGGGGTTAGGGAGGACTAGAGTTACTTTAGATTAGATACAGTGAAGGGAAGGGAGGGGCTATGAGGCTAGGAAGGTTAATAGAATGAATCAGACATTATTATCCTATGTATGTATGTAACTTATGACTGGTGGTATTCTACATCATATACAACCAGAAAAATGAGAAATTATACTTCATTTATATATGATGTATCAAAATGCATTCTGCTGTTACGTATAACTAATTAGAACAAAATTTTAAAAGTAAGGAAAAGAAATATAAGACCAACATACAATCCCAGCTTTCACTCCAGTCATAGGCTTCTTTTCCCAGAATTAATTCTAAGTTTACAAAAAAGGAGCCAAATTAGGACATATTAGTTAGTCTGAATTTTCGAACCTTACATTAAATCATCATCAAAGAACACTAATTTAAATAAGAATTAGAGTTATTTGTTTCATTCACATCTTCAGATTTCTGAATTATACATTAAAGCAATACATGACATCTGCATATGCTTTACACGAAAGAAAAAAGTATAAATGCCTCAGGGTGCATCTGCCTAGCTAAGAAACAGATGAAAAAAGTCTTTTTCTATAGTTCCTATTAAAGTACAAAGAAATATAATATTAAAGGCTACAAAAATAAGCTCAAACTTATATAAGGCAAATAAATCAATAAAATCTATAGCAAAGACCAGAATATGTTAAATTAATCTGAAAAAGCTGAGTTTCTAAGACTTTGAAAAATGAGAAAAGTCATTTGGCGAAATCCTTAACTTGGATTCTTTTTTCTTGTTGTTGATTGATTTTGTTCCTAGGTTCCAGATTCAGAGATATGCAACTGATCCAAACAGTTATAAAAGCTTAGGGGACAGCTTTCGTATGATCTTCCGAACAGAAGGGTATGTATTATTTTTCTTGTACAGACTATGTTGACATAGACTTTTTAATGTGTTTCTATTTAACATGTTTCCTCATTTTCAATGGTTTATTTTCATAGTTTATTAGGGAAAACATACTTAAAAGTGTGCCTTCCTATTTCATTATGTTTTTCCTGAGATGATTAAAAACTGAACATGTATATAATATGATTATATGTATGTAATATAATATATGTGTATATAATATAATTACTACCAAAAATATTAATAATTAATAATAATTACTACCAAAAGAGTATTAATAACCAATTTAATGACTAGAGGACAATTTCTAATTTATTTCATTAAGGCTTTTAAAACTTCTCATAATGGAGACCATCTAAAATTCACAGTTATTTATATTGGTACTTAGATATAATATACAAATGCATTCCTTGTTTGCACAAGGTTTATAAATATACAATCAAAACAGATCTGTGTCGACTCAAAATCAAGGGTCAAATATTCTCATGTGGAAGCTAGAGCACAGTAAGGGGGAAAAAGGTGGGGCAGGATATCATAAAGACAGAGGGAAGACCAGCTGTGTAGAAGGACAGTGAGAGGGAGAGAGGAGGGAAGGGAAAGGGGAAGAAATGCAGAATGGATTTCACAAATTATTCTGTATGCATGTATAAATATACTGCAGTGAATTCCACCTTCTTTTATACCTACAAAGAGCCAATTAAAAATACATAAATGAGTGCAAGGTAGATCAGTAGAATAGAAGGAGGAGGATAGAGGTAGGGAGGAAGGAAGCACTAGAGACTAAAATGGAGTAAATAAAATTTCATGCATGTACAATTATGTCAAAATGGACCCAACTATTATGTACAACTATAATGTACCAATAAAATTAAACATATATAAAAGACCTTAAGGTSTAATGGAATAATGAATGTTTTAACAGATCATAAACTTTTGATTTATTATTTTACTTAAATAAAATAAATAATAAATAAATACTCTAGAAAAAAGTAAATATATACATATATATATATATCTCTTCTGTTCTCTTTAATATCTACAGATTCTATAGTCAGTGGAATTTCATAGTAAATYCATAATAAAAATTTAAAAAGATTTGTCAAAAATTGATGCATCAAAGTCATTATCATATCTGGTAAATGATCAGATAAATAGAATATATTGCTCACATAAGCTAAAATTTCTTATATAACACAGTTAAAGATTGTACTGTATCATTTTTAAATTATACTTTATAATACTAAACATATTACATTTGCTTTTGAAAGTTGTTTTTATTTAAAGATCTTTAAAATGATAATTATTCAAAATTTTATTAGCAATAATAATAACTAGCATATATTTAGCCTCCTTATGTKCTAGGAATTCTCCCTACAATGTTGAGCTATGTACCTTTCCAGTTGGACAGATAAAGAAACCAAGATTTAGAGAAGCTAGTCATTTTTACTTATCTGATAAGTGGTGGAAAGCACTTTTAAACCAAATTTAAGTCAGTTGACCCAAAATCCTTGCTTTTAATCACTGTAGTCACTACCTCTCTTGCCAAATTATACTATAAGTGCTATTCTGATAATCATTTATTTCAAGTAATGCTATCTCATGGATATCTTTCCATGTCAGTATATTCTTTTTAACAACAACATAATTATTTATCTGTGAGCTACAATTTATTAAAGTAGTCCCTTTGGTGGATTTTTATGTTGTTTCCAGATTTTTGCTATTATAAACACCAGTACAATGCACACACACACACACACACACAGAGACACACACTCACATACATATACTTGAATTTTAGAAATATATTTATTTTTTTTAAATATGGTATTTATATTTTAAGTATATTTTATATTTACACATTTATATAAAATAAATTGCTAGCTATGGATTTCTAGGATCAAATTATATGCACACATTGTATTATAGATGCTGACAAATTACCTTCCAAAAAGTATGTACTGATTTTATACTCAGTATTTGAGAGTTCATATTGCTCCATGCTCTCTCAAATATGGGACATTATTAATCATTATGTGTGATATCTTTCCCTGACATGTATCTCCTGCTGACCATCTGACAAACTAAAAATGAAACTGTCTTAATTGTGTTCCTCTTATTGTTACTGGCATTGAGCATACTTTTTTATCATGAGGTATCATTTCTTTCAATTCTTGCCAATTTGTGTTCTTCATTTATTTCTCTCAGGTTAGTTTTTAAATTGATATGTAGGAACTTAATATATATTACAGAAATAAATTCTTTGACTGTTACATAGATTGCAAACATTTTCCTAACTTGTCATTTGCTTACAACTGTAGTGTCTTACTTATCCTTTCAGAAGTTTGACTTTTGAAAACTTACATGTGATCCTACCAGTCCTTTGAACTGTCTGATGTCACACTAAAATAAAAACGAAACAGTCTCTAACCCCAAGGTTACAAATATTTTCTTATTTTTTTGTTTTTGTTTTTTACATTTAAATCTTTAATTTATTCCAGAATCTTTAAGAAATGTACAGTTTGATATACAGGAATTAAATTTCATTTTGAAATGATTAGTCAATTGTCCAAACACCACTTGTTGAAAAAAATCCATCCTTTACTCATGAATTGAAAATGCTACTTTTCACATATTACACTTCTGCATATAGCATCATCTAGAGTTTCTTTTGTTTCTCCATTTCCTGTTCTGTTTCATTAATTATCTCTATGTCAGTATCATACTGTTTTAATTATTTTATCTTTAGAGTATTTGGGGACTATGTAAAAACATGCCCTGCAGTATAAAGTTTAAATTCCTTCCTTAGTGTGCAGAGCCCTTCCTTGTATGGCCCTCCCTTCTTCTCCCGGCTCCTTCTGCATACACAGATAGGTTCTAGGAAAAGCAAATGGTTTGCAGTCCTCTGATCTCTCACACTGTCATGGCTTTTTCATGTTCTCTATTCCTCGAGGACCCAAACTCCTAATCCACCCAAGGAACTACCCCTCTTCATTCAAAGGTGATTGCAAATTTCCCCAGCCTGACCATCTCTTGTCTACCACATGCCAAATTATTTTCCCTCTTTCTTTCTCTCCTCTCTTCTTTCCTCCYTCCCTCCCTCCCTCCTTTCCTTCCTTCCTTCCTTCTTTCCTTATGTAAGTATGGTATATAAAATATAGTACACACTACCCTTTCTCCCTCTCCAACCCAAGATTATATTTCTCTAAGGGCCAAACCCCATTTAGCTCTATATTCCTGATGCTGTGTTTGTACTGAGTGGAAGACAGTATGTGAATACTAAACAGAAATGAAAGTCATCACAGCAACATCATAATGCTGCAAAGTGAAACAGAGACAATAGTTTATGCAGTAGACCACCCTCTCTGAAGTTATAATAATGATCTTGAGACCTGATTAAATATTTTCTAGTCATCTAGTGACAAAGGATCAGCAAATCCTTCTTGCTATGACTTTGAAGATATGATATCTAAGTGCCATACACTGACAATACACTTCTATTAACAATAAGTGGGATAAAAAATCATGTGTATTTCACTCAATGTATMAAAGTTAAAGAAATCATAGTGTGTTACCTAGTAACTGAATTTCCCTTTCTGGTGAAACAGTCACTTCAGCATTGCCAAGTTCTGTAAGCTGTAACAGATATCTGAATTGGATGTGGGCGTTTCTTAGCCAAGGTCTTCATTTCATGTGTGTTTTAAGAAAAAAAAAATTGATGTTTCTGCTTTGATACCAAAAATATAACAAACACACAATATGTGTGGTCCTTGCATAGAAAAATTGGGCTTTTCCTATACTGTATGTATAATTGCTTCTAGAACAAACTGATATTTTTCTGCACTGCCTGTAGATCTGGTCATCTATTTGTCAAAGGCCAAAAGGTTCTCATCTTAGAAATGAAAATATTTGTCAAAATACAAAAGAAAAATTTGCTTGTTAATTTTGATATGGAGCAAAAGCATTTCATAGCCTTAGGTTAAAGAAAGTCAAGCAAACAAAAAAGAAAGAAAAAGAAAAGAAAACATTTTAATACATGCTGTGTTAGATTTTTTTTCCTCTAGCAAAAGCATATCTTTTTAATTTTGTTATTTGGAGTATACTGTGTTTTTAAAGATGTTCTTYTTTCCCAGATGCATAAAGGTTGGTTTTCTCTTTGGTCTATGAGGAGATTAATACTAGTTAGTTTGACTATTAGGATCTCTCCTCCATGTTGTAASTTTTGAAAATTAGTCCTTTCCCTTTGAAAAACGCTAAGAATATGTACATTTAGAATCTGTRCAAATACCCCCATTTCCCCACTGTAAGAAAGTGAAGTGATACTCACCACCATTCTTAGAGACCCACCCATTTCCCACTTCTCTGCCTAGAATTCATATGCTTCCAAAAGACAGTTGCTCAACCACATGAGTCTAAACCCCTTTATTGCTTCTAAGGTTCCAAAAACACAGAAAGATTGTACTTTTATTAACATCATGGGTTTTCAATATAGTTTTTCAGAGATTAGATTAATTTAAGTTTTTTAAGCCTTCTAAATTCTGGGTAGAGGTTTCTATCATATGGAATTTTCATAATTAATTGACTTTTACCAAGAAGGCTGTTTTCAGAAAGAAAGGAGAACTTCAAAGGGAATGAAGGCAGGAAAGGAATGTGTTATTGTCATTGTTAATGATATCTCTGTTATCACCATGATTCTTTATTTTTCTCTGGTTTGACAGAATTAACTAATAGTTTCATCTATTGTATAATAAAGTGAGCCCCAAAGCTATAAAGATGCAGTCTAGTTTATTAGGAGCCTCTAAAGCCACTAAGTTCCTTTCTGTAAACTGTTAAACAATGGCTAGTGTCCCTGTTAACCATGTGCCCACATATCAGCCTCATTTCCCTTTGCCTCGAATATCTCAGGAAGGCTTTGGTACTTGTCAGTCCTTTAATTAAGAGTCACTGAGGTGTTCATAGAGGGATGAGGAGATTATAAATTATGTTAATGTAAAACCAGG